CGATCCGTTAAACATTCAAAACCTTTTGTATATTACATAAATATTTTTTTCTATAAACAAATATTCTCCAAGCGAAAAAATAGAGCAGCCAGTCACCAACTTCTTTGCGCTATTCAAAGCCGACCGATTTTTCGGATCATGATTTTTTTAACAAATTTTATAGACGGATGTGCATCGGCGGCGACATTCAGTCTGTTGATTGGGGTTCAATTTAAGGGGTAATGATGCCGCTTTAAATTTCGTGATTAATAAACATACTCGAATATCTGTAAAACGAAGGCATTTCCAACCGGTAAGAAAAAGTAAGTGTACACGAGCGTTCAAACATTAATAATTACTTTAATATAAAAGTCAAGTATGTTAGAGACATTGTAAAAAGTTGCTTACGTAGGTACCTCTGTCTCCAGTTTGTAGAGTGAGATATGGTAATGAAATTAAAGGGTGCAGAAACCCTCAAGATTACAACCCCTGTTATTTTTAATTGATGCTTGCCAGCGAATGTCATTAGTACAGGTTCTACACAGACTATAAATATACAGAGAGAAAAAGTAAATTTTGTAACGAGGAAAGTAAACCAATGCAACGATTTGAAAATTAGCTTACTTTTTATTTGGTTTTGGAAAAAATATTACTATCAATATTATTGATATATGATACTATATTGTATGTTGAATAAATCGATTATTGATCCTTTTTTGAGACCAAGTGCGGGGTATGGATTTTTTAACAAATGTATATATATATATATACAAAAAATAATGTGTTACTTTTACATTGTTTTGTAATTAAATTATTATATTATATATACATTTTCGGGAGAAATTGGTGAATTGATCTAACAGGTTCTTGTAATTAAATTAAATGTCAGTTGCATTTTCTAAATATAATCAATGCTTCTTAATTACATAATAATATAATCTTGTAAATGATCGAGAATACAACTTCTATTTGGTAGTGTAATACAAGGCGCTAACGTCCCTTAAACATTACATTTACGTCCATTTAGACTGTGCGGTCCATATAAACCCATTTTAGTGCCCTGGTGAAGTTTAATAAAGCAACCCTAAGGCAATATATAGGATGTGTAATAAATATTAACGGCAAATGTACTTGAGTTTGTTAATTTTACTTAACATATTCGTATAAATTTATTTAAGCTTCACTTTTAATAAGTCGATATTCTACAGATATACGCACACACACACACACACACACACACACACACGCACACACACTAAAAGGCCGTACACCCAAAGTTCAAATAATTCAAATGTAACTTATTATAGAATGATTTTAATTGATAATCTTTATAGGCAGAGCAAGACATCAGACATTTAAAACGTCTACCACCATAATAAAATAAAATTCTCATTATAAAGCTAATGGACACTGAATTGAATCAGTATTTTTATCAAACATGAAGCTTTGTATTCCACAATAGTGGTAAATAGGTGTTCAGTCCATCCGATGGTAAATGGGTGATATAGCCTGTAGCCTATAGTTACATCTTTGTTGCCGACAACTAACAAAGGCATGTACGTAATTGCTTGAAGGTAAAGTACCTTATTCTCAAAGTCCTGATCTATCTCCAGCCATAATCTTCTGCAATCATTCACTTCAATATTTTCTTTGATCCTCTCCTTTCACATCCACGATCCGTTAAACATTCAGCACCTTTTGTATATTACATAAATATTTTTTTCTTAAACAAATACTAAAAAATAGAGCACGGTACAAGTTTCAGAAGGCCGATTTTTCGGCTGATTTAACAAATTTTATAGACGGATGCATCGGCGGCGAGCGGAAGGGGTTTCGCCTACCGCCTGTAAAGGCCAACCGGAGTAAGTGTACACGAGCGTTCAAACATTAATAATTACTTTAATATAAAAGTCAAGTATGTTAGAGACATTGTAAAAAGTTGCTTATTCACGTCCAGTTTGTAGAGTGAGATATTAATAATGCAGAAACCCTGATTACAACCCCTGTTATTTTAATTGATGCTTGCCAGCGAATGTCATTAGTACAGGTTCTACACAGACTATAAATATACAGAGAGAAAAAGTAAATTTTGTAACGAGGAAAGTAAACCAATGCAACGATTTGAAAATTATTTTTTTATTACATAAAAATATTACATAAATATTATTGATATAGTGATAGACTATATTAGTATGTTAATAAAGAAATAACACTAATTAGTGGTATTTTTTTTGTATTGGATAGAAGGCCTATCCAATACAAAAAAAATATTTGTTTATGTCAGGCAACTTAATATTATTATATTATATATATACACGTTAATTGTTACTTGTTACGTTCTTGTAATTAAATTAAATGTGTCAGTTGCATTTTCTAAATTGGTGAATTGATCTAAGTACATAATAATATAATCCTGTATATTTGGTAGTGTAATATGTCCCTTAAACATTACATTTACGTCCATTTAGACTGTGCGGTCCATATAAACCCATTTTAGTGCCCTGGTGAAGTTTAATAAAGCAACACAATATATAGGATGTGTAATAAATATTAACGGCAAATGTACTTGAGTTTGTTAATTTTACTTAACATATTCGTATAGATTTATTTAAATTTCACTTTTAATGATACCTACAGATATCTAAAAGGCCGCAGTTCAAATAATTCAAATGTAACTTATTATAGAATGATTTTATATATAAAAACATCATCGTCTACCACCAAAAATAAAAAGAATAATCGATTTTTTCACGAATGATTTATTTTTAATTTTTGTTGGTTTCAACTTTTTATATAATTTTAATAGCAACCAAACTAACGGCCAATGGAAAAGTATCTTCTTTTATACACATACAAGTACAGCATCACGGACGTCACTTTATTATGTAATGCTTGTTATACCCCTGCTAATCAAATCATAACACATATATAAGCAGTGTAATTCTTGTCTTTGTAAATTTCACTCTACCTATTTGACTTGATAAATTTCACTGTAATATTTGACTAAAAATCCCTCTCGTAAAAATAAAACTAAACTGCATGTGAACGCACCTTTTTACCTTCAATAAGCCGGAAGAATTTCGGTCAGTTAACTTCTCGTAAATCGTAATAAAAACGGCGTAGTCGACCAAATAAACACATGCCTAATATGATTATTATTATTAGGAGTAGTGTACTCATTATATGTAAATATATGTAATCTACTCAAATGGTATTTCTAAATAATATGAAACAAACTGTATTACCCGTTACCCGTTTAATTCTGAATACGGTACGGTCGTCGGTCTTTTTAGCTGTTTTTACGGAAAGATTGTAAATACTATTGGAAACATTATCAATGTAGGTACTCAAAATATGTATATCGGTTGTCTATATAAGTCCAACAGTGATTAGTATTTTAACAGATTTTATTTATTTGCTACTATTGTTCTATTGTATATTCTTCTGTATATTATTTAAATGTAGAGATGTAGAGTGTCTTAAATGTAATGGATTAAGGGTCCGTATTAGGTACATTGATTTTAGAAGAAAAAGTCTAATCCATCATATTTAAAATAAGTAATGTTGCTAAGTAACAGTTTATATGTAACGTGCAACTATGATCGGAACGAAAGTAAATTATATTTACTGCTATGTATGTAATCCACTGAATATCTCTATCAGTCTAGCGTATTAGCACATTGTCCTTCATTTAATAGTCGCATGTATATATATAAAAAAATAAGTAGTTCTAACAATTGTTTTTATACACAATGCACAGGCTCTGATTAGTTTAGGACTGATTTATTTTACGAAGACTGTATCGATGTAATTTAAATAATACAGAAAACATAAATGCAGATAAGACATTTCCTATGGCTGTATTAGATATAAAAATTAATGGTATACACATATATACATATATATTCATTTAAATACAATTTATAATTCATAGAAAAAATCCGAGTTCAGACACAAACAACTTGTTCAGAGACCGAACTCGCGACCATCGAAACACGAAGTAGTGGATTAAACCCCTACACCATATAAAGTTCCAATGTATCGAATAATCTTATAGTCGTGTACAGTGTCGGTTGGCAGTACATAGAAGTTGTAGAAATATAGACTGCGTAAATAGGAACGTCGTTCTATTGACCCTTTTGCTGTAATGAACTAAATGGGGTCAACCGCCATTCGCAAATACGAAATGGATACATTTCCTATTGAATTTATTCGTGTGTACTAAAGTACTTATTACAGCATTAGTTGTACTAATCTTATATAAGTGGTATGTACTTAACACAAATTAGAAAATAGTAAAGTTTTTTCTACTATTGGGCACTCCAAACCAGCTGGACTTATGGAGCGGGTGAAGGCTAACTCCTGCCTGTTGCTTACGTCTTTAGTCTGAAGGCTCTATGGGTTCAAGTTTCGGCTCAGATTGTAATTTTGATCCCCGTTTGAATGAGATTGAAGTATGTGTATGAATAAAGCGCTTGCTTGATTGCACTAGACGATTGGGGTCGTTGTCTTCTGAAGAAGACGAAGAAGACGAAGAAGACGACGCTGAAGCGAAAACAATGTCGTGTGTTTTTATCTAGGTAAGGTTAAATATTACCTACAGAAACGGTAACTTAACAAAGAATAAATAAATAAATTATGAAATAAAATTTTATATGCAAATGTAGTCTATTACTATATACATCTAATGTCTACCTATTTTTAATCCAGGGCAGATATTACTTTTTAAAAATTTTCTCATGTATATACGTAAGTTATTTAAATTTGTTTTGAAATATTACGCGAATTTACTTTCACTAGTGTTTATACTTATATATTTTTGTGTTTATTCATATATACTATGTATACGTATTACATACAAAAATCGCCTATTAGTAAAGTCGTATTACCGTATTAATATTTCGCATACTTTATCGCAAGTTAGCAGTAATTATGTAATGTGTGCTAAAAATTTACGTAATAATAATAATAGTAATAATAATAAAATTGGTGTCAATTAATAAATTATTAACTTTACTCACGTTTCCAGTAGTAGTAACGTCTTCTTCACCTATCGCTGAGGGTAGCTCTACCATCGTCTCCAGCCAGTTGCGGCCTGAAATAATAAACACTTCATTAACTTTGGTATATCATTATTACAAGCAATTATTACACAAATTGCTGTTATTATTTATTTGACGCCCTCGGTTGTGTAAACCTCTAGACACACCGCCTTACTTCCAAATTTTGCAAACGGTTTAACACTTTGCTTTTGTTGGTCGCGGGTTCAATTCTCCGTATGATTTAGATATTTATTTATATGCATAGTATGATTGTTTGTATATATATTGTTTTTCTATGAATACATATTAATTAAAAAATGAATTTAAGAATTTTTATCAGTATTCGAGTAACATAAGCTCTCCTGAGCTTAGTGCTAGATGTGTGTATTGTCCAGGATTATTATTATCCCCGAGACACATTGATTGGCCACATATTTGGGTGTTTTCTATGTACATATATTACATAGAATATGTATTTAAGATTTTTTGTCAGGTGTAGAGTTACCTGTAATACAACCTCTTCATAGTTTAGAGCACAGATAACATAATATTACATAGTTTAGAGCTAGATGGGAGTTTGTGTTAGATCTGGTTATGTCTAGGATTATTTTTATTATCCGAGTTATATGGATTGACTACACGCTTTGTGTAATTTTTAATTTCACATTACGGGTACAAGCAGTTGTTATTAAAATGCTTTTTTCTTTTATTACATTGTTAAATATAGCGAAGTTTTCAAGTGTTTATACTTATATATTTTTGTGTTTATTCATATATACTATGTATGTGTGAGAACTCGCCGATATATCACGTTGGAACGGTTTCCCTCTCAGCAAATTATGTTGAGTAGACACCCACTATTTAAGGGAAACTGACTGTTATTGTTACGACCTATGACAATAAACACAAGACAGTATTTTTTTTACCTACCCTCAAATAGGTTAAAGTTTAGCGATGTTGCGGCCTGAAATGGTAAACACTTCCGTTTACATATGATAAACGCTGTTATTATTTATTACCTCGGTTGTCCGTCAGATAAATATATGAACATATATATTTATCTTCCGTAATTTCGTTTTGTAATATGTGTATGTTTTCTACAAATAGAGTTCAGTACGTAGCTTGTTTTCAAAATAATAAACAGAACATTAGTACATTAACACTCTTTAGTCCTGCGACTGTCAGACTATTTAGTTTACATTTAAGTTTATTTTATATACATATGTATAATATAATCTTTATATATAAAAATTACGTCTCGATGGATGGTTTGCGATGGATTCCTAAACTACTAAACTGATTGCACATGGTGTGCAATTTGATCCAACTTGAAAGATAGCATAGCTTACATCTCAATTTATAGTCGCGATATTATTTTATTAAAACCTTTATTACAGCGACGCGTTCAGGACTACTATATTTGTATATATTTGTGTATATCTTACATATATATTGTATTTATCGTTCTGTTTATATTTTGTATATCATTTATTATATTTGCACCGACAACAATTATTATCTGCTCCACCTATGGTTGACTGGTAGATAATGCCGTTTACATATGATAAACCGTTAAAATATATGAACATATATATTTATTTTGTATTGTTTTGTAATATGAATGTTTTCTACAATAGAATAAGCTTGTTTTCAATAATAATAAAAGAACATCAGTACATTCACACTTTAGCCCTGCGACTGTCAGACTATTTAGTTTACATTTAAGTTTATTTATATATATATGTATAATATAATCTTTATATATATAAAATACGTGTCGATGGATGGTTTGCGATGGATTCTAAACTACATTACACATTATAGCTGAATCTCAATTTATAGTCACGATACAAACAATCACGCGTGGCCAGGACTGCTATATTTGTATATATTTTTGTATATCTTACATATATATTGTATTTATCGTTCTGTTTATATTTTGTATATCATTTATTATATTTGCACCGACAACAATTATTATCTGCACCACCTATGGTTGACTGGTAGATAATGCCGCATGGTGTTAAATTCGCTAAAACATAATCCAGTACTATATTTTGTATTGTGTCCATTGAAGTTAAATAAATAAATAAAAACATTACTGATGAACCGTACGATTGCAATCTACGAGTACACTGTAATGGGATTGTTTGTACTTAGCTATTTTCTCAGTGGAGCCATCTTGCCCTCCAGACTGAAACAAAAGCGCACATGCTAGAAGGTGGTTTATTTTTAATTTACTAGCTGTGCCCGCGGTATTTGTTACTCTTTCACGCAAAAACTACTGAACGCATTTGGATGAAACTTTACAGTAATATTATTATTCCATTTATTTCGGATATTTATCCATCCATATTATGTTAGTAAACAAGTTATAAACTATGTTAGTAAATTACAATTTTATACATTTAATTCATATATTTATATTTATGTCTTTGTCCATGTCCAGAAGCCCTGGGTCCGCAGCAATGCAGCGATATCCAGTGCCCCTGAAGTGGACAATCCGACATATTGGATATGGTGTTTATATGTATAATATAATATAGCTTTTACATCAGAATAACATATAGGCTATAAATTTGACTCGGGTGAAACCTCGAGCACAGCTAGTATAATAATAAAATAGAAATTACTATAGTAATTACGTATTTTAAACTTTTAACAATATCACATTAATTATGGGCTTCTCGGAAAGGAAAACAACACTAAAATGGAATTAATTAAAAGGTGCTTTCATTGAAAGTTTTACATCAGAAGATTACAAATTGATTTCTTTTTAATTACGGTAGATATTGAGGTGAGATGAAACCTTCCTGACAATTGTCCGTTTTGTCACTTTATTAACATCGTTTTAACTTTTATTTTGATCTTTTTGAATCTATACTAATCTTATTAATATCATAAACGTGAAAGTTTGTGAGTATGGATAGATGTTTGTTACTCTTTCACCTAAAAACTACTCAACGGATTTTGATGAACTTTACAATAATATAGCTTACACATTTATGTAGTATTATGTTATCTGTGGTATAAGTATGATTGTTTGTATTAATTTGGATATTTTGTCTTTATATAAAAATAAGGTATTTAAGTATTTGTATACAGCTTAGCAAGCTTGGGACTAGATGTCACTATGTGAATAGCTCCGGATTAGTATATAACTAGTTATGCCCACGGTTTCACCTGCCTGAAATTTATAACCTATGTGTTATTCTGATGTAAACTATATTATTGTAAGGTTACATTAAAATCCATTCAGAAGTATTCAAGTGAAAGAGTAAGGAATATCTATCCATCAATCCACATTCACAAACTTACACGTTTATATATAATACTAGCTGTACCCGCGACTTCGTTCGCGTATAATTTAATTTATTTTTTCTAAATTAAAAGTAGTCTAAGTTACTCCTTATTACATCAGCTACCTACCAAAAAAAGTCCCGTTAAAATCGGTTCAGCCATTTCAGAGATTAGCCGGAACAAACAGACCGACAGACAGACAGACAAAAATTGTAAAAAATGTTATTTTGGTGTATGTACCATATTTATATTCGTATGCATGTAGTAAAAACGGTTATTTCAATATTACAAATAGACATTCTAACTTTATTTATATGTACTATAGAAATAGATTAGTAAGATTAATTTCACTAAGAAAATACAAATGAACAAGTTGAGCTCTTCGTATTAAATGCATCACATAATCGCGCATATGAATGATGAAATTATGAAAATATCAGAAATTATATTTAGTTTTCCATTTTGCATGTCAGAAATAATTATCAAAATTATGGCACGAAACTGGACGACCTTCACGTATCATCTTTATAATTTATGCTCTATTTTTAGTTAGTTTTAGTTATTTATTATATAAAACAATAATATTAAGTAAATATTCTCACGGTTGACAACTATAATATGGTAGACAGAGGCATGAAACGAGAAATATTGTTTATGTATTGTGGAGAAATATTTCTTTTGTATGTATTAAAAAATGTAACACTAAGTTTCTTTCTCAGAAATCTTTTTGTTTATTTATGAACAGGCAAGGAATATTTATTCCGACACAAATCTATCGTTTTTTTTACAAATATTGGAGCAGTTAGTTACCTTGATAGTTTTATGGCGTTTGGTTTGTTGGATCAATAATGGGAAACATTGTACATGTAAAGAAAAGTAACGAATTAATACAATATCAAATCGAATCGATTCAAAAATTCATTTTAGCCGCTTAAGAACATATATTTTTTGTATTAATATGTTTTCCTCACCGTCCACTTGAATATACAGATTCATTGAGAAGAACTGGCAAGAAACTCAACTAAATTTAGTTTTTTTTAATAGTTAGTTTTTTCTACATTGTGTACTTATGTAGGTGTCTAGCACATAGTGACAAATTCATCAGATATTTATCACGATGATATCCAGGGGAAACTACGTGAAAGTCAACCTGATATGGTGCGGAGTAGACGCAATGGAGTCTTAACTCCACATTACAAACAATTCCCTTCCCCGTTCTATACGAATTCTATTATATCTATTATATCTATCTATCTATCTATTCTATTATAAATACATTATAATATGTATTCACATATTATAATGTAGAAGAATTTGTTTAGTTAATCACGCTAATGTATAGGTTTGAATGAAAACCATTCTTTTAATGTATTTTAGCTAGGCTGGGTAAAGGCTACATCAAGCTTCGACCAATAGGAACGGAGTATACCGCAGGTCAGTTAGTACAATCATAAGCTTTTAGAGTTCGCCGAACATTGCCATTAAAATTTAACATCAAAATTAACAATAATCTTCTCTAATACTCTCCAACATAAAATAGTATTAACATAGCGGTAGTGTTACCTGATGCATATATGTGGTTTACCCTCAAATTTTATCCAAAATCCGCCAAAGTTTAAGTCAAAACGACTGTTCATATGTAGTTTGTAGTAGTTGTAGTTATATGTTCATATAGTAGATTCTATATGTAGTTAACTACACCATAATAGAGAAATCTTCTGTATTAACAGCCCTAATGACTGTTATTTTTTGATACTACACACTATGGTGGCATTTTTTACTACTGATATGTAATATTATGTTATCTGTGCTACTGATTAGGACAAAGGAAATAAACTAAACATTTGCGTTCCAAAAATTTCTCCTGCTGTTATTTATTTTTTACATCAATAAAAGGACCATACCGTAAAATTTTTAAACCCAAACATTTCTCTCCACCTAAATATCTCCCCACACAAAATCCCTAAAATTTAGAGGGGAAACCCCCCAAAACTGGCATCACTGCATACCTAGTGAATTTGTTAGCATATTCATGAAGGATTATTCGTTCATTCAACTGTGAATTGAAACACACCCGTAATTATGTTTAAATTACAGTATCCCAATTTGCTTTCAAGATTATAATAACTTAATTATTATATCAGATAGTACATTAACAATAATTATATAATATCAGTGTAACATGTCTTTATAGAAAGACATAGAAATAGAAATAGAAATAATCTTTATTCAAATAAACTCATTACAAGAACTTTTGAATAGTCATATTTTGAATCTACCACTCATTCCGAACGCAGATTCATAACAAGAATGAGCAAGAAACTTGTGTGTTGCTCTTTTGAATAGATGTTTCTTATATAAATAATTAAAGTATAACAAGTAAGAGGCATGCGATAATCAACATAGAAATCGCTACGCGCTCATTATTAGTGCAATCGGATAATATTGTCAGCGCTATGGATTTTAAGTTTTTCTATAAAATCATTATAATAATGTTTAAACGTTAACGAATTCTTCAATTTTATAGTAAACTTTTTTAAAAGGAAATGTTTTATATGATTTTTATGACTTTTAAATATTTTATAAGGCAGATTTATAACAGACTCTGGTATTTTGGTGTAAAACGAATTACTAACTGTATGATGTAGTGAGAATAAAATGGGTTGGTACACAATTATAAGAAAAGAGGCACGACATCATCATCACCACTTACCAGTCCTATGGAATAGCAACACACGAGTTGTATCACGGGCGTCACATATTAGCGTGATGTCCGTAGAGCCATTAATAGGCAACGGTTACCATTAGGAAGCCATCTTCACATTAGGAAGGCCATCAGCTTGTTTGCTATTCCAATTATATAAAAAAACATTTCCTTTCATCTTCAGGTCATCTTAATAGCTTGACAGATGACCAAGGGATGAAGAACGTGAAAGAAAACCATAACCCAACTTGCCTTTTATGTTAGCCATTACTTAAACCTGTCATTTAGATACCTAGTCGCCGAGTACGAATAGAGTATTTATTTAACCATCTTTACATAGTATAAAATGAAATCGCTTCCTCTGACTGTTCGCTTAGTTGTTTTAAAATCTCCAACGGATTTTAATACAGTTTTTAGCAATGGATAGAGTGATCCAAGCCGGGTGGATAGCTAGTAAAATTACGGCATCACGCGTGAACGCCTTGCCCGATTTCACTAATTCTTTCTTTGTTGAGTTTGTTATTATCAGGAAAAGGTTCTTATTAAAGAGAAATTTAAGAAAGTTTAAGGATTTTTTCTTTATTAATTATACAAATTCGAATTTTAAATATTCATAGTAAAGATAGGACGTCTATTAGGCCAGGTATGTATAATAATAGACAATTTTACCTTGTTTCCGGTTGTTTGGAGACGGCATGCTGGTCTCGTCTCCGACGGTGGCCTTGCCCCCTGTAATATCTGAAATAAAAATAATCGCTATTGACCATAACAAAGAAACAAGAGAGATCAAAAATTAAGTATTATATCAACGGCTAGAATAGCTAAAGTGATTTTTAAAAATATTTTAATGCGGTGTTTCTTATTTTAATTATTAAGGAACGTTTTTTTATGGCCGTGGCGTCTAATGGACGTTTCCTTTTAGTTTAATTGCTACCGATTCCATATTTAAATAATTTTCGTTTTTATAATCTCTATTATCAATTCATTAATAAATCCAGGCTTACGCCACTTAGAACAAAATACCTTTCGTATAAATATTGCTCAGCAAAATTGGAAGCAATTGTTTGCCTAAATCTATTTTGAAGTGTTTGTCCTCATATACAAGATTTAGAACAATTCCTTCATTAGAACAATTCAATTTCTGTATAAAAACTATGCAAACTTTTTTTAGACGCATTATAGGTTACATCCATCAAGGATTCATATTATTTAGTTTAATTCTCACACATTCTACAATTAGAATGTGTGAAATAACAAATATTCAGTACGGAAACTTGACTACCTTTACGACCTTCTCTAATGGTGATCAAATTCCGACCGTTTTTTAATCCACACGTGTTTCGCCTGTGAACGAGGTCGGATATAGCTTGAAAGCCTAATGTGCGTAAATAACGTGTAGTGAAAATGATTACTATGGTAATACAGTGTACAAAAACACAATGAATTTTTTAAACTATGGTTCCATATTCTTCCGGTATTCTGATGATTCTGTCAATGTCAAGGTTGAGGTAGACATCTGTTGTGCGGTATTTTTAGAAACCCTGTTAATAATCTAAAACCAACATCGTAAACATTACAAATAAATATATTATATAATACTGTATTAGTTGATATACACGATGTATATGGGATTACGCACATTAGGCAAAAACGAAACGGCATTGTAGGTATAGACCTACAATGCCGTTTCGTAGTCGCGGTTTGATATTCTCATAAGTGGCAATAAGTGGCAAGTTACAACTAGAAATAGCTATAGATGACTTAATTTTAGGATTTAAAACCGTTCTTATTAGAATTAAAACTAAATTGGATCTATGTAACCAATTGTAGTGTAGAACAATTATTTAAAAACAATAATAATAATCTTTATTTTACTGCTTGCAAATAACCATAAAATGAAAATAAATTCTCTTTAGACTTTCAAGTTATACCTTACTAGCTGTTCCGGCAAACGTTGTTTTGCCTTAAAATAAAAAAAAAATTAGGGGTGGACTACTCCCAACATTTAGGGGGATGAAAAATAGATGTTGGCCGATTCTCAGACCTACTCAATACGCTCACAAAATTTCATGAGAATCGGTCAAGCCGTTTCGGAGGAGTATGGGAACGAAAACTGTGACACGAGAATTTTATATATAAGAAGATAAGAGTCTGGAGGCTGAACTAGGTCCTAACCAGTACTGTGTAGAAAAATTAGTAATGAGTATTCGTATAGTTTCGCACAAAAAAAAAATTTGTTCTAAATGACATGGGCGTGTAATGATCCAAATATTGATAAAACCTAATTTATAAATAGAATTGTCCATTCCGTAGGAAACTTCGCTTATTTACATATACGGCCGGGTCTGGGATTTACATAATTTATTCCCGAAATAGTGAGAAGTTCATAATAAAAGAGATTTCCTTTTATTCTAGGAAGCAATCAAGTAGGTGGTAATTAAGCGGTCACTGAGGTCACAACAGATACTTGGTCTTAGCGTGTGCCACCGTCTATTATGGCATAAAGATTTTGTTTAAGACTTAAAGGACTTTTCTCCCGCGTACACTTAGATTGTGTAATGAACTAACGAACGGACTGAAGTTTTCTCACGAGACTACAGCGTGAGGTTTTCAAGAATGGTATATTAAGGTTTCTGAAGGTTCGGCAACGCACACGTGACGCCCCTGGTGTCTCGAACCATTTACGATCAGATGGGCCGTATATTTGCGGCTATCGTAGTAAAAACAAAACTTTTTACAAATAATGAAAATGTAATTTAATATAAATCAATACCTTTTATCTTCTTTACATAGTATAAAATGAAGTCACTAGCGCTATCTGTTCGCTTAGATCAGTGATTCCCAAAGTGGACTATATCGACCCCCAGGGGTCTATGACAAACTGCAAGGGGTCTACGACAACGGTCATCTTGTTGTTTTTACTTTATGTTTTTAACACTAAACTTTACTAAAGTGGGAATTTGACAAAATAATCAATACCCGATAAGAATAAGGGATAAAAACCGAAAAATATGGCATATCTACGACACTTTTTTTATTTTTGGCAATAGATAAGAATAATTCAAGAGGAAGGTTTATACATATAACATCTGTACACTCGTGCGAAGCCAGGGTGGGTAGCTAGTGTTATTATGAATACATAATAATAATACCACATGTATACATTTAGTATAAGCATAAGTGTGAACAATTTCAATGTAAATAACGAGTTAAACCAACAGTGCTTCTACAACACATTTACGCTTTTGCACTAGTTTTAGATAGTTATTTTATATGTAAACTAGTTTCTAAGCCAGTTCTAGTAATGATAATGTACTTTAACGACTATAATCTGAGATGGTATGAGAGAAGCTTTTTTAAAAGAGTATATTTTGGAATCTCTTATTACTTCTGCCTTTGGGCGGACGGAGGAGTATGAAATTACGCTAACTTATAGTTTATATAGAGAAGGAGTGCAGAATACAATAAAACATTACACACGCTATCTTTATATTATACTATATTGTTAATTATCAAATCCTCGAATCGATGTTTGTTTCTGTAAGTAAGTAATTCTGTAAGTCGTTTATTTGCATTACAGACATGATAAGTAAACAATTAAGTCACAATAACGATACCAGCAGGCAGCGCTGTAATATGCCTTTTTACAGTAGGCATGCCAATTTTTATTACTAAGAATAAAGATGTTATAACAATTATATTATCTGTAACAATTATATAATCAATCAATCAAGTGCAATCATAGACAATAGTAATATTGATTGTATTTATATCTTAGGTGACTTTAATGCGCACCCCACCGAATTATTTTTTAATGAATTATCGATGTTTTGTGATGAACAAGAATGGACTTGTATAGATGTAGATATGTTAAAAAATGTATCTAACTGTTTTACTTTTGTGAGTGAGGCTCACGGGTCACAGAGATGGTTAGATCACTGTGTAGTATCTAAAGCGGCCGTGGCCTCCGTATGTAATATATACATAGAGTATGACATACTGTGGTCTGACCACTTTCCGTTAATTGTAGAATGTAATTTAGATGTTCTCTCACCTAAAATACATGAAATAAAATCCGTACCTAATAATGTAGTATGGGGTGAAAGAAGCACAGATCAAATAGACTCGTATTATAATAACTGTCACACTCAATTAAAAACTTTCGATTTTCCACCTGAGTTCTATAACTGTGCCGATCGAACATGTAATATTTTACAACATAAACAAACAATAGATAACTTGTATAACGATATAGTAAATGTACTAAGACGAGCGGCTGTGACTTGTAAAAGCCCTAAATATGTTAGGCGTAAGAAGAGGGTTATAGTAGGTTGGAACAAACACGTTGGCGAAGCACACGAGAACGCGAGACATAAATTCCATGTTTGGTGTCATTATGGTAAACCAAATAGCGGCATATTTTACAATAATATGTGTGAGGCCAGAAAACATTTTAAGAAACGTCTTAGGTGGTGTCAAAACCATCAAGAGCAAATAAAAATGGATATTCTGGCATCTCATCATTCAACAAATGACTTCCGTTCATTCTGGAAAGCCACGAAGAAGCTAAATTCAAAGTCGACCATTCCCGTGTGTGTTGACGGTGTTAGCAATGCCGGGGATATAGCTAATCTTTTTAGGGATCACTTCACGATTAAATCGTCATTGGGGCCATCGCGTGCTATGCTTAGTGTTGAGTCTGGCCAAGAGGTGAAAATTAGATGTAATGCTAAAGAAATAGACCTGATCATAAAATCCATGACTAGAGGTAAGTCGCCTGGACATGACAGTCTCAGTATTGAGCATTTACAGCATGCGGGTCCCCACCTCTCGCGACTGTTGGCTATGCTCTTTAATTTTTGTATCAGTCACTCATATATGCCAGAAGAGATGATGAAAACAGTAGTGATACCTATAATTAAGAATAAATCTGGTGATGTATCAAATAAAAACAACTACAGACCCATCTCTCTAGCCACAGTTATCTCGAAGGTATTTGACGGCATGCTTAACTCTAGGTTGACTCAACATATAAAAATACATGACAATCAATTTGGCTTTCAAAAGGGATTGTCAACTGAAAATGCAGTGTTGTGTGTGAAGCATGCCGTCCGATATTATACTAATCGGAAAACGCCAGTCCATGCATGCTTTCTAGACCTGTCAAGAGCATTTGATCTGGTTTCTTATGATATTTTGTGGAAAAAGCTTGAGGAAATTAATTTGCCACCAGATCTCATAAATATCCACAAATACTGGTATGCTAATCAGGCCAACAGCGTCCGATGGGCGGGTACCATGTCACAGTCATACAGATTGGAGTGTGGCGTGAGGCAAGGGGGATTGTCGTCGCCGATACTTTTCAATCTGTATATTAATGAACTGATAGTTGCATTGGGTAGCACTCATGTCGGCTGTCATATAGACGGTGTAAATGTAAATAATATAAGTTATGCGGACGACATGGTGCTTCTGAGTGCGTCAGTATGTGGACTTAGAAGACTCATGGCTATCTGTGAGTCATATGCGCGTCGGCACGGTCTGGTTTATAATGCAATAAAAAGTAAAGTCATGGTCTTCGAGGCCAGAGGCAATAATACAGATGTTTTTCCCGAAGTCAAACTCAATGGCATAGCGCTGGAAAGGGTGTATAAATTTAAATACTTGGGACATCTGTTGAACTCTGACCTTAGAGATGACGATGATATTGAACGAGAAAGGAGAGCGCTGGCGGTGAG